TGTTAAACTTGTTTGACAGGCTATTCTCTTTACTTGGTAAGAAAGAACAAAGAAGAGGAGGCCTTAAGGGAAGCCTTCATTCAGTCATTCAGTACATATTTAATAAGCGTTTATTGTAGGTGTATCATCTTGCTTTTGCACTTAGTTTCATTATTTGAACATGCTATCAGTAAAACTTACCTGTTTTAAAGTGATGTTAAGGATATGTATATTATAATTAACATTTGATTGCATTATAACTGTATTGTAATAAAACAACATATTTAGGAATATCAGTAGAGAATGGTTCTGAGGACTGTAAGTGGAAACATCTTAAACTGCTGAGATAGCTGATATTTTTTCCCTTTTTCTTAGATACCAGCAGCTTGGAATCTTGCCTACAAACAGAACTTCATTTATACACTGAACAATCTCAAAATGAAGAGAAGACCCCTATGCCACCAACCAGTTCTGTCCTCTTGGCATTTTCTGTTCTTGGGGAGCTACATACCAAACTTAAATCATTTGGTAAGACACACTACTTTGTTCCATTTACATGAAATCTCAGAAGGTCCAGTGTTAAAGACAGAAAAAAATTATAAAATATTCTTTGGATAATATTGATGATGGTTTGTAGGGGCTGACCTCATTCATCAAATGGAATTGTCATAAATATTAGCTTTTTTACTGAGGGCTTAGATACTTTCTTTTCTTTGTTTTCTTTTTTTTTCTTCTTTAAATTAACTGCTACAATTTATTTTATCTGATTTTTTTGAATAATTTAAATAAAAATCTGTAGAGAACCTGGGAAACTTCAGTGGGAAAACCTGCAGTGCGTAACGTGTGGTGTGCAATGTCCTGACATGTATTTCTGTTGTTAGACTCCAAGATATTTTTTTTTGACATTCTTCATTTAAAAGTTTATTCTAGTAATTTTTTTTATGATTGTTCATATAATTTTTCAGGTCAGATGCTGCTGAAGTATATCCTTAGGCCTCTGGTATCTTGCCCCTCCCTTTTTGCTGTGATAGAAAACCAGCCTAATATTATTATCATTCGGTTTGAATCTGTGATGACTGACTTAGAACATCCATCGCCATCTGAAGTTTTTGTGAAAATCAGACTGGTACTGGAAGTGCTCCAGAAACAACTTCTAGGTATGTACCTCCAAGGCAGTGCTTTTATATTTTGTAAAACTCATTATGGTTTTTGAAAGTATCGATGTCCACAGTCTGAGTGAATGGAGATCAGAGGTGAGTAGATTATGCATGGGAACAAAGTAGTTACCTTCTTACTTCTTGCTCTACTTTGTGTTCCTTCTCTGCCCTATACTGACAAGTAAGGTTATCATTGGTACCCTAGATTCTGTATTTGTAATATTTAGTTGGATTCTAGGATGCCCTTGGCTCACTTGATTCCTAGTAACATCACATTTTGGGACTCTTGCTTTAATTATTTCTGCTTCTCCAGAAGCAGAAATGAACCAAGAGCTGTTTTACATATTTCTGTGGGAAAATCCGTTAACCTGACAGAAACAGACTAGATTTAAGATAGGAAGTGAATTACATTCCAACTCAAACTATTGGTTAGGTTTTTATATATTCACACTTGAAATAGCCAGTTTTTGTGTTGCTTGAATAATGTTTTGGTTGTCATACTATTGAAAGTAAAGTTTCTTCTGGTGTTTTAATACTGTTTTCTTTTTAGCCTGTTTGACTTACCTTCTTTTTTTGTATTTCTCAGTTATCTTATTGAATAGTCAAATCAAGCATTCTTGCTGTGAAGAAAATAAAAAAAATTTGCTATTGTTTATATGCCTTCCTGGCAGTTATATAGTTTATTTAGGGAATAAATATGCAAGGAATTCTTTCTAGCTTTGACAGTAGCAGAGAAGAAAAAAAATCTTAAGACTTGCATAAATTGCAAAACTCCACAGTAGTTTTCTTGTTTCTTCCCTTAGGGAGATAATACACTTTTATTTTTATTAGATCTAAACAGACTTGTAAACAGAATATCAGAGGATTGGAAGGAAGTGGAGAGGTGACTCAATCCAAGTGTCTCTGTGCTTTACTGTCCTCTATAACTCTACCATCAGTTGGTCATATAACCAGCCTAAGCACCATTAGTGAGAGGAAACACTTCTTGAGGCATTTCATCTTACTTCTGGGCAGCTGAGTACTATGAAGTTTTTGTTTTTTAAACATCATATTTCCTTTCTATATTAAATACTATTACCAAAATCCACAGTTTGCAAATTAAATCTGTAGGGTAGTTGTTTAAAAAGTTTGTTCAAAATATATTGCCTTGTAATGTCTGCTTTATTGAGGCTATTTCTACTATGTGGAGCTAGATAGGCAAATCTGTTTCCTGTTACACTTGATGGACTTTCAAATTCTTTACAGTAGCTGTTATTATTTCCCCTACATCTTATCACCGGCATGAACATCTTTAGGTTTTTTTTGAATGACATAGTTTTAAATTCCCCTTATCTTAATTGATGTGTGAATATATTCCATTTCTTCTATACCCCTCTTGTTAAAGTATGGTGTTCAAAGCAAGACAAATATTCTTGGTATACTCTGAGCCAATTCAGAATAGTGTGGGTGCATTCATGTCCTCTTTCTCAGTTTTGTGCTGCTTATAGTATAGGCAAAGGCTATTATTACACAGTTAACTCATTGAGCTTAATGTAAATAAAAACCCTGTGTCACATTCAGTGCAAACTGCTGCTTTCCCATCTTACACTTGTACTTGACTTTTTTTCAGTTAACATTAATCTTTGTTAAATTTTACTCAACACAGTTTTGCAATGTGTTTATGGTTCTTTCTACTTCATTTGAGTGCGTAATTGATAACCCTGTTTTCTTATACTTTAAGTCAGTTATGGTACTGTTTCCTGGGATAGGGCCAGAAAAGGGGGGTGTTCTGGAGAATTCCAGTAGAAGTCACTTTCCAGTTTGACACGGTTCATTGAATTAATTAGTACTCACCCTGTTATTTTATTTGTAAGTTTTCTTAGTACCTAGGATAGTTAGAGCCAAAGACAACTCAGCGTTGCTAGGTGCTCTTCTAATCTCTTTATGTATTTATTTAGGCTTTAGTTTCTCTTTTACCATTTATTCTTCCCCTTTTGGCTCAGAGATCATTGTCTTTGGCAAAGAAAAGGATAGAAAGCAGAAGTTTAGGAAATCTGTGTTCTCATTGATATCCATCAATCAACATTCCCTTCCTTTATCTTCTTGATCTAACTATAACCTGAAAATCATATGTTGACTCCTTAGCTCTTTCTGGAATCCTCTACTTTCTTTGGGTTTTAGTTATTCTGAAACTTCATAAAGGCTTTTGCCCTTCCACTTATGTTTGAATATATATTTTTTCTTCCAAGTTTGCTTTATTATTAAGCATTATTATACCAACGACAACAAAGGAGCTTTTAAAAGAGGAGAATGAATATTCTTCTACAAAGAATTTGACAAAATGTATAAAAAGCCTTAAATCAGGATTTCAACTTCTAGGATTCTGCCCTAAAGAAATAATCTTAAATACATAAAACCATTTATTTATGTATAAGGTTGTTCATCACAATGTTACTTATAAGGCTGAAATACTGGAAAGTAGAATCCTAGAAGTTGAAATCTTGATTTCAACATATGAATTGGGGGAGGGACACAATTCAGTCCATATGATGTATGCACACACGTGTGTGTGTGTGTGTGTGTGTTTGGGAAATTATCATATATATATATGTACACACACACACACACACACACACACACACACACACATATGAATCTGAGGGAGGAATACCAACCAAACTTAAAATTGGTCACATTGGCAAGGAAAGAAAGATAAGCTTGTGCGTATGGAGAGGGTAAATTTGGATTTTTTTCTCTATAAAACTTAATGGTGTTGGTCTTGTCACAACAAGCATGTTTTGCTCTTGCCATGAATGCTTTTCTGGAAAGTATAAATTACTAAAATTTACTAAGAAGCAGAAACTCTGAACATACACGTAATTGTAGAAGAAATTCAAAAGGTTGTTAAAGATTTGGCACTAAAAAGGCCACCATCAGGCACCAATGGCTAAATTCTACATGTTCTTCAAATTACAGATAATTCTTTGTTGATCAAGTTCTTTGGGCGATAGTAAAAAGAAGAAAAGTACCCTAATACATTTTTTAAAGACCAGCATAAAGTTACTACTATAATATATAATGGTAGCTTACTCACAGAGAAAACTCTATAGAAGGATTTTACCTTTGATTTACAAATGCAAACATAAAAATAAAAATAATAAATCCAGTGGTACCTTTAAAAAGGACACATTGTGACCAACGGTTTATTCTAGGAGTGCAAAGATGGTTCAGCATAAGAAAGCAATCAGTCAGTTCATTATGTCGACATACTGTTACATCATTAGATATGGAAAATATTATGACAAAATTTAGTGCCCTTTACTTGTAAAACACTAAACAAAATAGGAATATAATGCTTTCTAATAGTTTGAAATCTTTATGATATGATCTTAAGGGGGAAAAAAGGATACAAAATGCTTTTTATTGTGTGATCACACCTATGTATCACACTTACCGTTTTCTTCTCTGATATGTATGCATATACCCGTTCAACAAATCTTTGTAGAGCAAGGCACTGTACCAACTGCTTATACCACTTGACTAAGATGGTGCCTGCATTTAGGTTTATGATCTACATCAGCATTGTCTAATAGAAATAAAATGCGAGCTACATAATTTGAAATTTTCTAGTGGCCACATTAAAAAACTGTTAAATGAAACTTGAACATATATATTCCATCCCCCCCCCCCCCCCATCTCCAAGCCGTTGTTCTCAGCCTAGTTGTGGAGGACGCTGCTCACTGGTCCATGTTGGTATTATGATCATTGTGCTCTACCCGGCTGAGGCAGTTGGTCGCTGTCCTTCAGATGGCTGCTCATGGCAGCTCTCACTGGCTGCGGGCCACTCATGCTGACTCCCAGCAACTCACACTTGCTACTGGCTGCGGCTCACAGTAGCTCATGGCAGTCTGCGGCAGTTCAAGCCGTCCACTGGCCACTCCCGGCAGCCCAGATCCAGGTCGAGCTGCTGCTCACAGTCTCAGCTATAGAGGGCGCAGCTTACTAGTGCAGCTTACTGGCCCATGTGGGAAGCAAACCAGCAGCCCTGTTGTTCAGAACTTGCGCTCTTAACAGCTGAGCTATCTGGCTGCTCTTGAACTTGTATTTAGTAATATATTTTATTTAGCCCAACATATCCAAGTTTTCATTTCAATATATAATGAATATAAAAGTTATTAATGAGACATTTTACATTTCTTTTTATACAAACTCTTCCAAATTTGGTGAATATTTTGTACTTACAGTATATCTCATTTCAGATGCAAATTTTCCCTAGAAATACTTGATCTGTATTTAGATACCATAAAATTTACAGTTGAAAAAGTAGTTCCATACCTAAGTTGTTTCAAACATACTGAAAAGTTTTCCAATAGTTGTAATGAGTACCCAAAATTTAGGAATACCAAAATGAACATTGGTTTGTATTATGAAAAGGTTTAATTTCAACATAAATTCTTGCATCTGTCTGGAGAGGTCACAAATAAGCTTTCCTTGGAACTTCACATTTAGCTTGTTCATATGCATTGTGATCTCAATAGAAACAAAGTGCGTTGCCACTTATCTTTGATTATTGAGTATTTGGCGAACATTACTTTTGTTGCAAGAAAATCTTGACGATAACAGTACAGTAAATTTTTGTAAAACTCTTCTAGACTGAACTAATGAGCATTGGCAAAGGACGTAAGATCATCATATTTATTGCCTTCTATTTCTTTCAACAGCTCAAGAAATCAGTGATAATTTATAGTGTTTGCATGTATATACACTGAATGATTTTAACGCCTGTATTCATGACACTTCATAGAGTTCGTTTGAGAAAAAACTATGTATTATGCAGTGGAGATAAGCAATAAGGGAATCATCAGTCTCTCATTTTAAAATTACAGTAAATGTGGGCCGGCTGAGTGGCGCGTTGGTTGAGTTGACTTGGGATGCCAGCTCTGAGCAGCAGGGCCCCAGTTCAGATCCCATATTAGGGCCAGTGACGCAGCACCCTCTACAGCTAAGATGGTGAACAACAGCTCGACCTGGAGCTGGGCTGCTGCGAGTCACTGGCGACGGCGTAGGCAGCAGTGGAGCTGCAGTGGGCTGCGGTAAAGCTACTGTGAGTGGCTGGCAGCTGGTGTGAGTGGCCAACAGCCGGCATGAGCTGCCAAGAGCCGCTGTGAGCGACCGTCCAGTGGCTGGTGACTGATCTGCCTCACCCGGAAAGAGCG